TTAGACCACCCGTCCTAAGCACCGTACAAATCCAAGCTTCGTCATGATGTTAGGAAAATCTCCAGGTTTTTGGTTCCATCTGTGGATAGGAAATGGGTTTAAACGGGCTCAACATTTGTCTATATATATGACTGAGTCATCTACTCCGCAAAATATTAAGATCTGGTGAGAAAAGTTCTAATTATTTGCAAGAAGGTTTACGTAGAAGTTTAAAAGTAAGGATGGCGACGTTTGTAACCGCAAAGAAACCGGTGAGTGTGGTCAGCGGTTGGCATAGGGCCGTGGATGAGGAGTTTTGTCTGAAGCGACTCAAGGAGTTTCAGATGGGCGGAAAGCACCTCCGACAAACACAACTGCTGAACGTTGACGAACTTCTTCCTATAAAGAAAATCAAGATTACGCCGCCGTCTTCGGGTGCGATTAAGGATAGTGATAAAACTACTATCTGGAAGCTCTTTGGAAAAAACCAAACAACAGTTTCCAGTTTCGGGAAACAAAGTAATGTGATTGGAACGAAAGATGACGGTACGAGACATGGGAATGCCATTGGGAAGAGAGGTGCGACGAAAATTCCAGTGGATCAAATAGCTTCATTACGGGAAACCAATGACAAAATTCCAAGATCCGGGAAGACCTAGCAAAATCATTGAGTAAAGTGGCAACTGAGATTGATGAAAAAGGGGAGAAAGCAGCAAAGGTCTGATCTTGTGAACCATTGAGTGTTGCTGCGATGGTGGAGGCTGAATTGTTCAAAGCCTGGGGATCCTGTAGCAGAACCAACAAAACCAAATATTGGTCGGTGATGTTCAATTTGAAAGATGATAAGAACCTTGATTTCCGCAAGAAAGTGCTTCTAGGGGAGTTTACCTCTGGATCAATCAGTCAATTGACAGCAGCATATGACATGGCAAGCCAAGCAAGAACGTTGGAAAACGAGCAAATCAGGGGATTGCGGAAGTCTGCAGTGCCGCAGATGTGAGTTTTCTGCAACAACTTATAGTCAGATGCAGACCTGAAGCGCCAACGAGCCGATGACTATATTAGTGCATTGCCACAATTGCAACAACAACTGGAAAGTTTAATACTACAATATTCCTTCCTTCTTAGTTCATCATATGTTCCGGGGATGTTATTACAAACTTTAATGTTTGATCAGATTCAAATTAAGTAGGTTTCTTTCTTGAAACCAAATTTTGTCAATTCGCTTGTACATTTGTTTTAAGTAGACAAGTAGTCAAGGGTAGAGTTAATCATCAATGGCAAAAGAAACTAGTACAACACTCTTACTATTGATTTGGATATCTACTGTGAATGCACTATAGTGGTATCAATGGGAGAAAAATTATTCTAAATTCTACTGTGTAGCTATATGGTTTGTAAGTTTTTTAGGCTTTTTAGGTCTTGCCGACTTTGTACTTAAAAAATGATCACATTACTCCCATAGGCCGTATCTATCTTGTTGAACCCTTTCTTTGTAGAAGTCTAGCTAAGATGATTTCGGTTAATTGATCTTTTTGGTAGTGGGGACGATTCTGTCAAAATTAACTAAATTGAATTCCTGACAGTTACATTCTATTCCCTCACAAGGAAAACAAAAAGAGTAAGAAAAAAAAATGAAGTTTTAGATAAGTTCATACAATATTGATGGAACATAACAAATCCTCCTTCCGATCTTTATTATAAAACATTTTGATTTATCCTCAAAACACATCAAAGAGGTATTCTTTCCCGTTTGGATTCCAAATCTGGTTTGCGTAGTGTTGGTATTTTACTATATTAATCTTATGCAAATTTAGAAGCCACAGAATGTATATGATTTGAAAACTTATGATGTTTCTAAGATTTTGTTCTTGGTGATTTTATTAGGTTCCTTCGATATGAATACGAATAAAAGAATTTCAAGAATCATAGAGAAAATGTTCTCTAATCTGGATTGCCTTGAGTAAAGGCATGACTCGTGAGTATACTTAATCGATACTCTTATCCTAAAATAATTGTCTAATTTAGATTTTCTCTATTGATTTAATTTGTACTTCAAATAATAATCTAAATTGGACAATCATTTTGGAACAAAAAAGTATAAAAATTGGACTTGGGCATAATTACTGCAACCCTTCCTACTATTTTACTTTTGTCACGAGAATGATGCATCATTTTAGATAAGTTTACTTGTGTTGTTTCATAAAATCTGCATGTGTATTGAATAACACACAATTTTTTGTTTCACATTCAAAAGGTATTGTTGATGGATATGTGTTAAGAAGTGACAGAAGCCTTTATGTTGTTACTATTGAGTTCCAAGTAGTGAAATTGGGCGAATTGGTTTGCACTTGTCTTACCTCGCAGCACCTAATAACTGAAACTCCAGCATGTATATGAGATACAACACGAGCCTTCTCAGATTTTTTCTTTATTATTCCCTCCATCACAAAATTATTGTCCAGTTTAAAATTTAATTTGAGTATAAATTGAACTAAAAGTAAATTAAATTCAAACTGTCCGATAATTTTAGGATGGAGAGAGTGTTTTTTGCTTGTGTTGTATCTCATATACACACTTACACAAACTATAGTTTGTTTTCTTCATCATTAATACGAATTCAAGTGATTAAAATATTATCAATAAACATGATTCAATCACGTTCAAATAAATAATTCTCTTCTTTGTTAAATCATTCTTCACCTCTTAATTTTTCTACTTTTAAATCCCCTTTATAGCAGCCACCACTCAAACTTGTGTAGCTTATCTCATTCGACATAGTCACTACGTTTATCATCATCATTAGGTCAATATGATGAGCAGAAATCAGCCAACCAACGAAACAACGGCTCGTGAAAATGATCATGATGCATCAGAAGTAGCAGCAAACAATGGCGTTGGCGGCATATTTTTGCAGTTGATGAACGAACGGTTTCTCTAGAAAAGGATGGATGATGATTGAGATCGTCACTGGAGAAACAAATCATGGTGGTTAATGCAAGAATTCATACTATGGAAACAACTTCTGTGAAAGAGTTTAAGGTGGACTGTCTTTGGTGGTTATGCAAGAATTCATACTATGGAATAAAAATTGAAGCCAATGGGAAGTGATTGTTCTCATACAAACTGAATCATAGAAAACCTGGAGAAACAAATGAATCTTTAATGAACATTGAAGAAAAATAAACTTCCTAAAACTAAAATTTATATCAACTTCCTAAAAATCTTTAGGATGTTTTCAAAATTGATTGAAATCTGCCAGAAAGTAGGACTAAATCTTATATGTACCAAAAAAAAAAATCCCATTGAATGTAATCATAAACAATTAAACATAAAATTATTCGTCATTTTTTACAATGGAATGATATTAAAAAGGCATGTTATAGGTTAAAGCCAATATCATCTTTATCCCGTCAAAAATAATTTACATCTATCAAAATTTATTCATAATTAATATGCCCCACAACGTGCGGGCATAAGACTATAGATTGATTTATTCATAATTTCCATTGTCTATATATCAAATAAAACAATATTATTTTTCAGTAAGCATAATCCGGTTGAAGGGATGCAGAATATTTCTTCCATTATGAAAATGGAAGCTCCTTGTAATCTTGAGAATGAGAATCGATCATAACATAAACAAATAGTAACAACTAGCAACTCCTTTGGAAAGTTGACTCATTTAACAATATGTTGAGGTTTTATATAATTTCTATTTTTTTCCTGTTTTGAAAATAGTTATGTTTGGATTTTTATACATCTATTAAAATATATTTTTGAATTTTAAATGTAATTAATACAAATAAAGTAACTGGTTTGTAATAATAAATATATGATTAAGATTAAATTAGATCGTGATAAATAAAATTGTTATATATACTTTGAAATGACAACATTTTATAAATTGTATGCCAAAAATGTAATTAAATAATGGAATATGTATAAGGATTGTATACAAATAAAAGTAAAAAAGACCACCAAAATAATAAATCAGATGTTACATGTCATATAAATCAAAGCAATTTATGTCTACACGGTTAAAAACGTATGTTAATCAAGATTGCACACAATTAGAGAAAGAGACACCTTACATGTTAAATAAAACATGATCAGAGTGAGGTCGTCGCTGCAAAGATATTTTGTAAAGTATATAAGATGCTTCGCTTCAGTGTTTCACCGGTTGTCATTGTACACGTTAGAGTTAGACCGAAGTGGATATTTATAGTGAATGTCTGAATGAGATATCATAACCAGTAACTAAAGTAAAATTCATAACTATGGAATAAAGATGATAGCGTCACGTTGATTAAGGGATAAGATTGGTGGGGAAATAACTTCCATTGCATTAATGTTGATTAGTCTTTTTCAATTAAATTTGATTAGTTTTTCATCACTAAAGAATTCCCACTTTCCCGCACGTTGAACTTAGGTTTTAAATCAATCAAGTAGTGATTTTAGGGATTATTTTGTAAAGGGATTTTTTTTTTTATTCGAATTGGTTGGGGTAAAAAATTCCGGTGAATTAATGTTGAAAATAATACTCCCTCCGTCCTATAATTATTGTCCAGTTTGGATTTTCATGTTTAGTACAATTTGAACTAAAATTGAAATTTCAAACTGGACAATAATTTTGGGACGGAGGGAGTAAATGCCTTATCCCTTTGAACTTATAATTTAAATCAATACTAATTCGGGATTATTTTTGGGAGGGAATAATTCTGGTGCATTAATGTTCATTAATCCCGTATATTAAATTTAATTAATTTTTATGTTCCTATTTTAAATTAAAGTTTTAAATGTCATTTGATAAAACTTTATTTACATAAAATTTGAAAGACTATTAGTATAATTGTTGTAAATATTTTTTGATTCAACCAATAGAAAAATGACACATAGGATTTTATCTTATATGGCACCTTTAAAATTTTTTTTTGTTTTCTCTCTCTGGTTTCTCTCTTAGTATAATACTATAGATAGATAGTAGTACAAAGGAGCATATAAAATCCCACCATCGGAAAAACAAAATGAAATTGAAACCAAAATTGGTGTTCTTCGTCTTCCCCACAACTCTGGTGTTTTAACACTTCTGGGCAAAGGAATCCTTAATTCTAAAATCCCATGGCGAAAGAAACTCTAATTTCACACACCCATCGACTGATACCCTTCCGTCCCTCACCCACGACTTCAATTCCTAATTCAGATGAACTTCTATATCAAACCCCCAAAACTCCGCGCCTCCTGGAGCTCGAATCCTCTGAATCTGTTTCATCTTTAATTTCTGCAAATGTTATTGCCGAAAACGAAGATCTCTTGACACTGATCTTGGTTTGGTTACCGGCAAAGTCTCTCCTCAGTTTCCAATCCGTTTCCAGAAAATGGCGTTCCATCATTTCCGACCCCACATTCCGGCGCCTTCGATTTCGGGGTTACAATACTGGCGCCCAATTTCTGTTCCGACAGGGAAAAGATGGTAAGCCTGAGCTTAATTTTATTTCTCCCCGCGAGTCGTATGTGAATTCAATGGGTAAAATTGCTTCACAATTGAAGGAGGATTCCTTCGACGCTAGTAAAATGTTGGGATTCCATTCATGCAACGGGTTAGTAGCGTTTGCTTTAAAGCCAGATGATTCCTTTTATGTGAATTTTTTTGTGTATAACCCGACTACTGGTAGCCATAGGCTTCTGCCCCGGCTCTATGCTCGCGATTATTTCTATCAGTATATTTACCACGATCCTGTAACTAATGAGGCGATTTATCCAGTGGTTTGTCCTCAAACTGTTCGTGAATTTGTGTCACTCAGTATTGCTTATGATCCTTTGAAATCTGATCGCTACAGGGTGGTCTGCCTTTGGTCTGATTTTTTTGGTTTTAGAGTGGCCATTTATGCATCTGAGACTGAGGATTGGAGGGATACCAGCTGTAGTTTTGATTTCAATATTGAATTTATTCATTGGAAAGGAGTATTATGGAATGGAGATCTCCATTGGGTGTCTTCCTGGTGGTTCTCTGTATGCCTTGATATCGAAAATGGGGTTGAGAAGGTTATCATGGCTAGGCTTCCTGATGTAGTCGTTTCGAGTCCCGAAGATACGGAAGCCCAAGTTTACTGGCCGGAGCTTTTCTTTTTTGGCCTGTGCGGCGGAGATTTATGTCTTGTTCGGCTAAAGGAGCCTAAGTCGTTGTTGTTTGATGTTTTGGCGTTGGAGTCAGACTATTCAAGATGGAATGTCAAGTATTGTCTAGACCTCTCTCCTGTAACTACTCTGTATCCATCAATGGCAGTTGAGGAGGGTGATCCTTATAATGAGTGGTTTCGATGTAGATTCTCTATCCTTAGTTGCTCGGTGGATGCTAAAGGGAGGCAACCAGATTTGTTGATATCATTCTCGAGCAAAATCATTTCTTGCGATATGAATGAGATGATTGTGAAAGAACTTGCAGATGTAGTTCCAGCGGATAGTCTAGCTCCTGGTGACCGGGAGGAAATGTGCAAATTTAGATGGAGCGATGCGTTTGAACATGTAGAGAGTTTCGCTTCTGTTTAAAATGTGGTCTTAAACCCTGTTTGATAGGCACTTTTGTATGTGTCTCATAGTTCTTGTAGTCTGTCTCATTTGTGATCTTTGCCAATCTGAAAGTGCAAGTAAACAAAAGAAAACCTTTTTGATAGAATACAAGGAAAGATTGACAGAGTACTAGTACCTTTTATCATTAGCAATGTTTTGAACTCTTCTAGTTTCTTCTTTCCACTTCTCCTTCCAAGTCACCAAAAAAAAACAAAAAAAGAAACATTTGCGACAATCAGTTTCTTTAGTTCTTGTAAAGAGTTTGCTGCTAACATGCACTCTACCGAATCTCATATATATGCCATATAGATATAGCAGTTGTCACCCAACAACGCCCTGTAAATAGTTCGAAATAAAACTAGAAAAAAAAAGTGCTGTTACTATTTCCCAAGTAGCTTGAGATGAGAAGCGTTTTCCTCCGCAGTTTGTCCATCAAGCATCAAGCAAAAAGAGCCCCTGCAGGTCACCAAGAAATCAAGAGATTTAAAACCGGATTTGGTAGGGAGGAGAAGTGGGCAAAAAAAAAATGGCGGTTAAATGGCCCTGTTTTGTCGCGGCACCTACTCGATATAAGAAAACCAAAAACGCACTCACGCCATTCGGTCTTACGTACATTCAATCAACACGCACTCTGTGCCCGCACAAGTTTCCGCCGTCTGTTTAATTCTTCTGTTCCTCACCATGCTTTCAGTTTTGAGTTCTGTTATTGGGGAATTGATTTTAATTTTTTTTTTAAGGTTTCTTGATCGACTTGGAAGGCAGCTGGGTTGGAAACGGTGTCTTCTGAAAACCGACGATTTTCAGCTTCCGATGAGGAGACAGCAAAGGCAGGAGGAGGAGGATCAACAACGAAATCCGGCCTTTTTTCTTTGGTTGTTGATATTTCCCCTCTGTTCTGGTTTTTGGTTCGCCTTACTGTTGGTGATAATTGCTATTTGTCTTTCCCATTATATTAATCTATCCAATGAGTTAATTAATATACTTGGAAATTTTAGTATATTATTATATGTTTTAGGGTTAGGGGATGGATAATTTGAAGAGTCTCAATCTCGATTGTGTTAGATTCACGTTTTAGACATGGTTTGATTCCCCCTCTTTTTCTTTTCTTCATGTAATAGGATTTGGTTTGTTCATTTGGAGTTCAAGGAATGGGGGATTGGACCCAGTCATATAGCTGATATACAAGATGTTAGTGGAAACAAGGTTTGTGGCTACTATCTGTTGAATTTTGTCATCCTTTAAAGTTGTTCTCTGATTAGGGCTTCCTGATTTTTTTTAATTTATTTTGTGTTTTTATGTTTAACTAGTCTGAAGCTGACTGGGTTCTCATGGTTGCGGCAAAAACCGAAACTTCTGAGCTAATTAGAGGGCTGATTAACGAAGGTTCTGTGGTATCTTTGATGAAGCTCCTGCGTCATCCTAGTGCTGATGTTCGCCTGCTGGTCTGTTTTTCCTTTACTGCTTTGTTTGGTATATTGTAGATAAAGTCAGAACCCCGCCCCCTTTTCTTTGTTGGAAAAGAGGTACAAAGTTACTTTGATTCAACTGGTAATGTGTAGGCTGTATTGTCATTGGGAAACATTGCCTGTGACTCTCCCACTTATCGCGACGTTGTCCTGAGTGAAGGGGCTTTGTTTCCATTGCTGGAACAAGTAAATGAGCGTGCATCACTGTTAATGCTGAGACAGGTGATATTGACATTGTTAAACTTCTGTCGGGCGAACCTCAACCTTCATTTGAGCAAGTTAGCTCGCAGTACAACACACACACACACATATATATATATATGGGCAACTAGTCAAAGAAGTCTTTCCTTCTCAACTAAGCAAGAAGTCAAGGTGAAGGAGGTCATACTCCTCTGTGAAAGGAAGAAGAGCAGCAGCAACACAGACCATATCAGAGAGAGAGAGAGAGAGACTCTAGATAGATATACAGTACAGAGAAGAAGGGGAGTAGTAGGCAGTAGTCATGGGTGGCGACTCGGGGAAGTAATGGAGTAACTTTCCCAAGTCGCCTGCCTCCAGCAGCAGTAGCAAATTTATTCCCTTACTCTGTTTTCTTTCCTTTCTCTATTTTTCTTGTTTGTAATCATGTCTTGGGCTATGATGATCATTGTTATATCTGTTGTAGTTAAGAATATGAACTGTTTATAGGATTTTAATCCCTTGAATCTCTCAAGTTATTACTCATGGTTGTACTTGAATTAACCTTTTGATAAGAATGATCAACAAGTCAATTTTGTATGCATGTGTTGTAAATCCTTGACGGGTAAACATCACTTAAAATATCTAGTATTAGCCGGTGACAAAGGAGTAACAACCCAAGGTTTCAAACGACAACGGAAGTTAGTTATTTGGCATGAGGCATTCATAACGGCTTAGGATCTTAAAGGCCTAATAGTATTCTAGAATCAACAATGGAAGTTAGTGGGTTTGTTGCTATTAGAACTCTGTGAAACAATCGAAAGTGACCTTACAGTGTATTTGTGCATGATCGAACACAGTTTTATACCACAAAAAGTAGCAACCATAATAAGAAATTAGAGAGAGGATAATGGAATAGGAACCCTAAGACACTTAGATAAGTCCGTTTCTCTGATATCTTGTTGTTTTATTCCAGTCATTTGGGGGTTATTAGAGTTTCACCCATCCCTGTGGGGATCGATCCTACTTATCGCTAGCTACAACTTTTAAGTTGGTATTTTTTTTGTGGCTTCGACACCCATCAATGGCTTCATTTCCTATTATAATTTTTAAAATTATTCATCTATCCCTATTCTTAAACACCCCTACTACTTGGTCTATGAGTAATGAATCTATTATAATACATGCATCATTCTTATTCCTATCTTTGCCACTATATCAAAGTTTGTACCCTGTCTTTTCTAAAATTTTGGTCTTTTCACCTACCCATTTTGTTTCTTGTAAACAATTATATTTACCCATATTCCTCTCATAGATTCTACTATTTCTAGAAATTTATTTAAGGACCCTACGTTCCAACTCCATATTCAACAAGTTTTATTATTATTATGTTTATTCGTTATTTGTTTTCTATTTTGGGCATTTTTTCGAGTTCCCGCTACTCCCACGCCCTAATGAGAATATAGTGGTCCTTGTCAAGGAATGAATATTTAACTTGTAATGTATTCTTGACGTATGTTCTTGCACATTTTGCACTACACCCAAGTCCTCATGGGAATGTAATGGTCCTTGCCAAGACGACACAGTCGGACCTGCAGCGTGCCATGAATTACGAGTGACATCCTAACATGGACACAATTTCTTATATGGCTAATATTCATGAGAGTAGCGGGATTTTAATGCTGGTTGTTAACCTAACGCGAAACCTTCCTTCTTTATGCTAGTTTGACAGTCAACGGTAAACTCTAGAGAACTAACGTACCCGAGAGCTTAGAATAGCGGAGTTAAGGTAAATATTCACACAATCAAGGATATTCTGATCATGAACTTTAAATCAAAGATTGTCCACCGATCTTATTCACACAACTACTTGCAAACTTGGAACCCTAATTATTATAACTTCAATTTAATCTTTTTTTGTTATAAAAAAATTAGCACATATCCCGTTATTACTTAACTAGGATTAGTTTTTTTGGAATATTTAATTTTTTTATTGGATGGCTCACCGAATACCGAACCTTCAACCTCCTGGTAATAACTATCCATAATCTCCTAACTAACCCACCCACCCTCAGAAATATACTTTATTAGTTAGAGTTCGTTAAAATTAAGAACATAATGATGTTATACCTTACAAATTTAAAGATTACTCATATCTTTGGAGAGGTAAAAGTGTGGCGGATGAGCTGGCGAGAAAGATATCAATAGGAGATTCAATGCAATAAAATTCTTAGGCACATCTCACAACATCATTGAGAGTAAAATTAATTTAGATAAGCAACTTTTTCCTTATCTAAGGACTAGACAAGCTTTTTTAGATTAGTAAAAAGAATTGTAGATGAGAGTTGTTATGAGATTCTTGTAAAATTTTTGCAAAACAGACTTCTAGATTAGAATCGTGTAAGTACAGAGATACCATGGGATTTTAGAGTAATCTTTGTAAAGCATCCTCTTAGAGCCTAATACACATAGTTGCCTTGAGATTTTAGAAAAATCTTTGTACAACAGACTCCTCCTCTTTGGGTAAGTTTTTTTTTTAAGAGAACTAGGACGGTATCTAGCGGGCGACCCCCAATTTTATTAATTAAAAAAAAAATTACACAGGCAGTGCTTAAGACTTACCGAATTGAAAAAAGTCTGTGGTACAAAGATTTTTCTAAAAATTCCATGACATCTCTATAGTCTATGTCTAAGAGAATGCCATACAAAGATTTATCTATAATCCCATGTTATCTCTTTTAACGTTTAGAACTAAGAAAGTGTCTCACAAAGGTTAAAAAACATTAACCCCATGACACCACTTTTTAAACTTAAGACTATACTACTCTATTATTCTAGTTTTACTTAATCTAAACTATACTTCTATTTCATTGCATTTGAAAGCTATTTAACCCTTAAATATGGAAAAGAACATTTATCTAAATACCACTTACCTCACAGTTGGATTGGGAGATCCTCTTGCGAATCATATTGGGCAGTAACTCCTCTAGAAAATATTGCTAAAGCATCTGCTAAACCGTTCACTTCACGATAGATGTGGATTATCTTTGAATTGGAAGCATTTAACATACTTCTAATATGTCGGAGTCGCACATTATAGCGCCAAAGGAAAAACTCGTTTTTCTGTAAAATTTGAACGATCATCTTGCTATCCGCTTGGACTATCATTCTGAATATTCTTGTTGATTCGCACGCCTTCAATATATTAAAATGGCTTCAAGTTTTGCTTCTATACTCAACGCTTGTCCCATGTACTTTACACTTTGCCAGTATGAGTTCTCCACCTTCTCCTCGTAGCACATATCCACATCCAGCTTCTCCAGGTTGTCCAAGTATTGATCCATCCGTGTTTAAGGTTGTCTCTCTTGATTCTGGTGGTTGCCATCTCAAGGACCAAATTATTTTCCGCTTAGGAGATAACACTTTTTCATTAAAAAGCCTTTCAATATCTTGTTTTTCATAATATGTTTTTGCTTGAAGCTTGTGGACACTCATCAAGTTCGAAATGTGAGCATTAACATTCTTCATGAGAGCATCCGAAGAAAAATTGGTATTTCATATAACAATTTGTTTCGAGTCTTCCAAATCTCCCACATTAGAAAAATTAGGAGTACCATTTGAATAGTTCGCTTTCTCGTGGTGTAACTACCCACAGATGCCAAGCTTGTACGTTGCTTCTCTATCCTGCATGATTAGAAGAAAAAATATCTAAAGATGATGCAAAGTGAGTCCAAATAGACTTTACCTTTACACATTGAAAAAATATATGATCTATATTTTGTTCCTCTTCGCAGCAAATTGGGCATCTCGATGGTCTCGCATAAAATCCCATTTTCTGTAAAATTTCAGGGAAAGGCAACAAACTATTAAAAAGCTTCCACATGAAAAAAGAGATTTTCAATGGCAAAACTTTATGCCAAATATTTTTTAGAAAAGACCTCCTCTTTGTGTAAGTCTTAAGCACTGTACGTAATTTTTACTTTAATTAAAAAAATCGGGGGAATGCCTGTCACGAACCGCGCCCTGATTCTCTTAAAAAAATTAAAAAAATTAAGGACATAATGAAACTAAGTATATTTTATTAATTTTTAGTTTTTGTCTTATTTCGGGGAAAAACAATCGACTTTTATTATCATATTGTATGTATTTTTTATACTCCTTCTATTTTGGTTATTTTTCTTGATTCAAAGGGAGTAATTTTTACAATTTATTTTTAAACTAGGAAGAAATATAGATACAAGAAAAGATGCGTTGAAAAATGCTGCATTTCTTTGCAAGTTGCAGTTGGAAGGTATTCAAGCACCCGATGGACGCGCAGAAAGAGGCGTTTCAGGTGTGGAGTCGTCCCCCACTAGACTAGGATAGTTGTAGGTCTCCTTCCACCCGACTGAGACGTGTAATAGCTTAGATACTTGTAAAAATTATATCAAACAAAATATACAAGAACAGTATTTTAAAATATAAAAAATATTCTTTTAACTGAAATGAAATTTGATTGATACTATAAAAAGGAAGATTAAATTAAATTTAATTAAATAAGACAATTTATATATCTCTTCACATTGAGAAAAGCAGTCTATTCAGATTATCATTTTCAAATTTCAAGGTAGATTAACGATGGATCCGCCGGCCATCGCTGACCGACGAGATGATGACATTGAGCTTGGTGGAGTGTCGGTGGAGATGGCGGAGTCAGCAATTGGCTCCTCCACCGCCGCGGCCAATGAATTATCATCATCATCATCATCACCGTCTGTTGATGGTGGCGATTCCGTTTCCGACCAAATTACTCCGCTCTTAAGTCAATCGCAGAGGCAAAAGGTCAACATTTTCTCCCTCCCTTATCCCCGGCGTAGGCCGGTTAAGGTCAGTGACTTTCACTTCTGTTCCTTCATTTGATTTCTTACCTCTAGAAGTATCATTTGATATCACAGTCTCTGCAAAATTTTTAGTGTAATTGTTGGATATGGCTCAAAATGTTACTCGTTCTGTCTTGTATGGATATTCTTTGTTAATGTCTTCTTCTAGTTGTCTAATCCCATGTTATGATTTCATATTTTCATCCTGTATGTGTTGAAGGAATGTGTATGTTTTGTTAAAGATATTGGGTTGTAGGAATATCTTCCTTGCCATTCGCTTCCCATCGTCCCACAAACCGCTCTTGACATTTGGGTTTGTCCCTGAAAGAGTAATCTTTGAACGATCATCATAATTGATTATTTTGGTTTGCATTACCTACTAGAGCATTTCTGTTGTCAGTGACCTTCTTAATTTAGATTGTCGAACCTGACGTTTTTCTGTGAGTTGTACAATTTACCAGTGGTCTTGCTTTTGTGATGGGAAGACTAGGAATGTTGGCTTACTTTTGATCACTGACTTTAGAATTTCTTCACAGTTCATTCCACTGGAGTTTCTCAAAAGTTGTTAAAAGAATGTGACAAAATTGCTTTATTAGTCTTACATTTGTTCACTCCTTCAATGTTGCTTTCATTTCAGTTTAGTTTTGATCCATTTGTACCTTCAGTTTCGTCTTAAAATGTCTGAGCTTGTAAAGTTCACATGGTTTTTAATTGGTGCCACATTTAGCGAGTTGTCTGCACAAGTTTGTCCTCTTTCAACATTACTTTTGGTTAATTTTTTACTGGGAGCATGGTGGGTGGGTGGAAACGATCATTGTGTCAGTTTCAGACCAGAAAGTGATTTTCTTTTTGCTTATTCTTATTAGAACTCAACTGGTATCCAAGTAAAAATAGATATTGTTGTCAGTTGATACTAGTTTTTATGGGTCTTTGGTGATGAAAGGGTGAAAGTCAGGACAGGCAGAACAAATTCTAGCAATTCTTAAATCCTCATGTGAGGAGGCCATTTTAATCTTTACAGGTTATTACTACTTTCCCGTCAGAACATATTAAGTGTTATTGCGAATTAGGATTATTGTTTGGGTAAATTGAGCCGCAGACTAGGCACGTTTTCTAATGTGCGATGGAGTTTTATAGTTGATTCTCTGTAGATTTAACTTCGATTGTGTTATAATGGATGAAATTAGGTACTGTTTTATTCATTTCATGTTTTAGTACCTTGCAGGAACAAGTTACAAAACTAGCCGAAACAGAGATTTCACCATTTATGCAGTTTGCCTTGTGGGTATGGAATGGCTCAAGGTACTCTGGTCTGCTGTGCATGGTGGTATCATCTGTTATCTATTGCTTAATGGAAATTGTTTCAGATGTTTTCACTGGTACGTGTCCAAATGACTGCTATTTGGCTGCATTTTGGCTAAAGAGATATTTATATCGTGTTAATGCTGTCTTCAGTTTCTTGTACCTGGGACGCTTTTATTCATTTTTGACAATCATGCTATTCTCTTATTACCAATGGCAGCTCAATCGATTCCTCTTTTTGAGATGGCATTTACAAGATGTACTATTATCCTGGTCTTGTCATTTGTGTGGTTGAAAAGAAGCAGACAACCTATATTCAGTACAACATCTAGTGTCAGAAAACTGCTGGTTTTAAGAGCAGTCATGGGATATCTCTCATTGTTGAGCTTTGTGTACAGGTATGTTCATTGCATATCTAGTTAGAGCAGATAGACTCTTTCCTTTGTGGATCTGAAATAAGTTTTAGAAGTGGCAGAAAAAAAGAGAAGCAAAACTAAGGACAGAGTGCAAGTTTTCGATGTATTTTAAGATGTCTCTCCATTTGGAAGAGGCAGAAAATAAATGGAATGTTTAATGAACTAAATTAGCTTCTTGCTGATAATGTATATACTATATGTTATTATTTATTTTACCTTAGCCTGTGCCAGAATTAAATTTATTTTAAGAGCTTCATTGGGATATTTTCTTGATTTTCATCAATGCAAGGATATCCATTTCCTTTTAGATAAATCATTTTTGCAAGGATCTCTTATTTCCTTTTTATCTGAAACAGTTATTTTTCTGAATCTTGAACATGATTTACTAGTGACTATTGGTTAGTTTGTTTCCTTTTCAGCATCCAGAGAGTTCCTCCATCACAGTCTATCATACTGAGCTTTACTACCCCAATTATGGCTGCTATTGCGGCAAGGTTTATATTGCATGAGAAGTTAAAGATTGCTGAAATAGGAGGTAATTTTCTATTTGTACATTTGTAAGGCTACTACCATACTAAATGCCAATCAATATGCATCATCAATTTAATAAGGGATTGGAGATTTTGTGATAAGGAAAGTAGATGTTTTGCGCCGGGGAGGGGGAGAGGGGAGGGGTTTGCATTGTATAAAATAATTGGCTGAACAAGACATGGGACACATCTTGAGCAAGAATGAGCTAGGGCTGCTCTCTAGGCCAATAGGTTTTAGAATTGGAATAGCATCATACAGTACAATACGGCAGCGAGTCTCCTATATTTATATGGAAGCTTTGTTTCCAAGGAAGTATTAATATTGGGACCCTACGTTTCATTATTCTGAATTCCACAGTAGAGATATCTCTTTTTACCGATCTTGATTGATTATGGCTTTTTCATATGTCGCTCTTCAGTATAACTTAAAGTTTGCCTTTGAAAACTGTCAAAGACTAAAACATGAAAGGATCATGTCATGTGATAGTCCACTCTTGTAATTTCAAATGTTTAATATTACGAACCAAAGCCTAATATCTAAATTTTTTTGTGGTTGTTGAAAAAAGACTCTAACCTGTGTTTGGTAAAAGCTAGTAAGTAGTACAGTAAATTCAGTTATCCCTTTTATACAAGTGCTGGTTCTGATGGATAAGCCTCTCGAAAACTCACAATTACTTATTTCATACTACTCTGAAGATTAGTCTCTCGAAAATTCAGTAATTCATTAAGCTACTCTGAAGATTAGTCTCTCTTGTAGAAGACTTTGACCTGTTGCTTTGCCATTATTGCTGTTGGTTGGTGTCTGTGTGACTTCATATTATATTTGACGCATCATTCTTCCCCCTCCCCACCTTTTCTTTGGGTTTTTGTTTCAACTATTTTTTACTGTACAGGTCTTGCGTGCAGTTTCTTTGGCGTGCTTTTTGTTTTTCGGCCAATCATCAACTTACCAGGTAATGTAGTGAGCAAATCAAACTTCTGTTCTTGTGTCAAATCGGTTTTCAGGATGGCAAATATGTCATCTTCTTTAGAAAATGATTCAGTAATTTATTTTCTGATATAACTCTAAGCATTGAAATTGTTGTTACTTGTTTCGAGTGAAGGATGTATGATCGAGCAATTGCCTCCAATCATGTTTTCAGTTCTAATATCTGTATTTTCTGCTGGAAGTCAGTTGATTAACTGTGCATCAAGTAAATCTGACTCCATCTATTGAAAATGTATTGTGTAGTTTACTAATGAAGTATTCTGATTGATATGATTTAATTGCAAAAGTACTTTCCCTGAGATGTGAAAAGCAAAGAGGAGGTGTATCTTATCCAAACATGATAGCAATTGTGAAAGAAAAGATGTTAATTAGTAGGAGTATAATAATTTACCAGTGTATTTGTTTGAAGTTGGACCTCCAGGAAGGATACTATGCTCTGTAGGCATGATGAAATTATTTTTGTGTTTGCTCTTTACCTTTCGTTTTGATTAGGATTCAGATCAAGTTTCTGTAGTGAAATGAACCTATTTAGGAGGTGCTTGGATCAGTGGTGTCATTCCGAATAGGTGACTGTCATTCCAAATTTTGTGGATTCCCTTGCTTGGTTCAAAGATTTGGAATGACTAAGGCCCACAAAATTTGGATTCAATCCAATAATTCCATTCCCTAACACTTAGATGGGTTTGTCTCGGTAAAACAAAAAATTGGCTTTCTTTCTATTGTTGCCCCTCTTTACATCCCACCATTCTCTCGACCTCTCCTCATCCCTTGACTTCTAACAGCCGTCAGCCACAACCATCACCAACATGAACTCCACTGCTGCAACTCTTCACCCCTTTCTCTCTCCAATTCCAATTGTAGCTCCCTCCAATCTATAAAAAAGTGCGAAGAAAAAATTAATTTGTACTCCCTAGTCAACACAAACCAAGTGACCATCACTAGACTTCCCTCGTAGTCAACAACACCAACATCGTTGTCGTTGCCGGATTGCCGCCTTTGGTCAGATCTACTCATCCAGAAGCCACCAACTGGTCGACCTCCATCTTAGGTTGATTTCGTGAAGTGGGTTTCATAGTTAATTAGTAATAGTAGTGATGGTAGTTGTTTTCTTAATTTATTGAAGCAATTATTATATTAGGTAGTGTTCCTGTGATTAGGCTGACGGAGAACTCTTGTTGAATTGGTGGCGGCATAATAATCAAGCATAGGCATGATCGAGGAAGAGGGGATAAATTTGGAATTTCAAGTCCATTCCAATTGAATCATAATTATGAACCAAGCACTTGAAATGAAGTTTTGATTCCCTTTAACATTTTTGTTTGGAATGATCTTACTTTCAATGACTCGCAAACCCATAGCCTTTGTTGAACCAGGCACCCCCTTACTCTCCATTCAAGTGATAAATTGCACTAGTTGGGGGTAAACACTAGTCTGTAAGGGAGGGTTTCTCCTGTTTGATTTCTAGACCAACCAACGGTGACTGAACCTTTCCCATTTTTAGCAGTTCCGTCTGCGTTTTAAACCTTCAGTCTTCAATAAAAGAAAGTTTTTTCATCCTGATTATTTTTGCTGCTCAAAATGAAGAATAATTCGTTTCAATTTTCTTGATTTGTGATAAGTGGGAAATAAATAAATTTACCAAAAACTATATGTTTGAAGCACTTTTCCCTTTTTATGAGCTTCTGTGGTAAGGATACTCCAAAACGCTTGTAAGGAACATGTTCAGGATTCCAGTTTTTCTAAAGAGAGTTGAAACCCTTTTCTCGCAAATTTGAAGTACATGAACTTAAACAAATTACTTGGATTGGTAGTTATTCTGAAGCTTTGTTTGCTCCTTCATAGTGCTTCTTGTAAGAATGAGGCTTGTCTTTTTACTCCCCCTACATCTAGCTTCCAATTTTTGAAAGTGTTTTGTTGTGTTTGTTTCATCTTTCAATTATCTCTTGTATCTTTGAATTCCCATTTCCTGCTTGTTTTGGCAGGTCCGATTGAAGCTGGAGATGCAAATGCCTTATATGCGACGGGCAGCTCTCACATTTTGGCAGTTTTAGTTGGTTTATTTTCATCAACTATTGGTGGAATCAGCTATTGTTTAACAAGGGCTGGAGCCAAAGCTGCCGATCAGCCTGTGTAAGACCACTTGTGTTCTCTGTTCTATTTAATGTGATCTTATATAATACGGTGAGGGGAAAGTACTTATGCAAGTAAATTTAGGATTCTGATTAGGACCAGGTGTCTTCAGGAGTCTTTTTTTTTTTTTTTTTTTGTGTGTGTGTGTGTGTGTGTGTGTTGGGAGTCCGTTTTTCTCATTTCAACCAGAGTTCTCTTCTTTTCAGGCTCACTGTCTTTGCATTTGGTCTAATTGCCAGCCCTGCTGCAGCTATATCTTCGTTAACCTTTGAAGTGAGATAGTAGTTCAATCTCTTTCTTTCTAGTTCGTTATTTTATTATTTAGCTCATTGCCTTGAAACTATTACCTGAAGAAGTTACTGGTCCTTGTTATGATTGCATTTAGGTTACAATTGTCTGTTCTTCTGAAAGTTGCACATTGATTCTCCCTGTTTTGTTTGTTCTATATTATTATAGTTATCTCTTTGTTTCCTTTTTGCCATTTTACCTTTCTTACATTTTCCCAGTTAAATATTATGCTAACCCGTGGAGAGCTAAAATTTGATGGTAGAAAAAGGAAAAACAGATAATTTAGGGACTAAGATAAGATAGCTAGTTGTTTTGGTCTCATCCTTCTCCCATTCTTTTAAAAAAATTTAAGAAAGAAAAGCATGCTTGATTGTAAAATTTGCTCCAGTTTTCATTCTAAGAATATTTTCAGCAATCATCTGCCGTCTGTATTAGCTTATTTATCTTGATAAAGTGAGATGTGTGACATTTTGCCTTTGCTTATGATCAGTGTTGATGACTTTTATCCTTCTAAGCTGCACTATTTTGCTACATCCAACTATCTTAGTTATAGGAAATGAGGAAAAACAATTATACTAGAGCTTTTTCTTCACTTCACTTCTTGGTATCTTCTAATGGCCATGTTTCTGTTCAACAACCCCATATTCAACAATTTTTAAGTGGTGAGAATTGGTCAGAGATGATTAAAGTTAAAGCTCCATTGTTGGTTTTAGATGTTCACCATTTGTTGCTTTGAGATGCTACATATCTTGCAAATGAAAATTTTAATGTTCATGTGGCTGTAGGATCTGGTCTTTCCGAGATTTTATTCTCTTCTGCTTATGATCGTGCTTGGTGTATCAGCTTTCTTGGCAGAGGTATTTAACTTTAGTCTTTCTTGTTGCTTAATTTGTAAACAGTGATTTTTGGATGATTCTCTATTACAACATGGATCCTTTTTGCTTTGTAAGTCGTCACCAATTCACTGATTTGAAAGTCACTCGTTCTGGTTGCAGGTGACATTGGCTCGTGGACTTCAGCTCGAGAAAACCGGCAAAGCTGTGAATATTTTGTATGTAGAGGTAATTCTCATTTTTGTATAGACGCAGTAATTAACTCTCTCATCTTCAGATACTTTTAATTCTATAACTATATACCAGCTGCCTGAACCTATTTGGAGTGTGATATGCTCTTTTTTTTTTCAAAAAAAAAAAAAAAGAAAACCCTTAAATTTGAAGAAATCTATCTTATATAGGTTAAAGTGGATGGGTCTCTATCAACGGACGTTTTATGTACGTAATTGTTATGGCTTATGATGATTATTCCAATTTTCCATTTGCCTCTAACTTTCTTAAAAAGTTATGTACGTTTACAAGGAAATACAGATTCTTGAAGGCTGTCTCATTTTTAGTGTCTTATGCTTGGTTTAGATTGTTGATCATCCTTTATCCTTCAGTCACTTCTTTTATCATCTTACTAGTATTATAGAGCAGTATGCTTCTTTCATTTGTCAAGATGCCAAGTACATTTCGTTTCAAAGTTTCCAATCAAAGTAGAGAAGTCCATTTGGTTCTGAGCGTTTCATAATGGGATGGCTCTTGTGGTCTGCATAGTCAGTGATCCTGTTCAACTAACAGGATGCTGTTTGAAGTGCTAAAGATATTAGACACGGGCCAAAAGAATGGTGGTTGTTTGCATCAAATGAAGTGCGGGTTAATGCTTTTGGTATATGATTTTGTTTTGATGTCTAATGTTTCTCGCCTTTGTGCAATTGTGATATTTCAGGCTGCTCTACAACAATTACTGGGGATGAGTACGTCAAGAATAGCTCCAACATTTGGTAGACTCGTGGGCTGTTTACTTATCTTCATTTCGGCATGTTGTACAATGTATATCGGACCTGAAAAAGAGATAGAATGAACCCTCCTATGTTGTATCTCAAGTGTGAATAGAATGGAGCCGTGGCCATGCTCTAATTTGACATTTTTGGATGGTTTATTCGGTCTAGGATAGTTAGCAATATAGTGTTCTTTTATTTTTTGATTTTTTTGGGGGGTGAATTTACGTGTATGAGGGACTGCTTGCCTTAAGTTCTAGAGCGAAAGTCTTAAAATCGTAGAGGGAAAAAACGGAGAATATTTCCTGGTCTGCATGGGGACATGGCCCCTAAAATTGAAGGATATAAACGTTTCATGTGAGACAAAATCCGAACCTGCCCTACTATCCCACATTTCCCATGTCTTATAACGAAAATAAATAAATAAATCTGTGCCTACTAGCTTTTAAGTTAGTCAGGAATTTTGATTGGGACTCAGTTCAATTGTAACTAATCAAGGTTGATGTACGTTACAAAAGCGTTAGTTTTATTTTTTTTTTGTTCTAAGTCCGATTATTCTATTTTGATATCATATAGTTCTTCTGTCTTAAAATTATTGGTTCAGTTTGAAATTTCACCTTGATTTCATTTTTCTTTAGTATAATTTAAAGTAAAAATGAAAATCCAAACTAAAAAATAATTTTGGAACTGAATGAGTATAATTATGATTACGAAATGATAGTTTCTTGCAAGCATTCAAGTTTTACCTCATAAATGTTTATCAAAATAGGAAAATCTTGGTCATTATTTCGATTTGATGATAACAGGCTTATATTATTAATTGGATTCGTCACGGATATTTTGTCAAAAATCCTTTACAAAATCCATCTCCTTTTTACAAATATTTGGAGTTCATTCACCTAATAATTACTCAACAATACCCACAGATCGTAGCTGTTATCGTTGAGTGAATATGAGGATCTAGTTCCTATATTGAGGCTTAATACTCGGAATTTCTTTGGATATCATTGTTAATTTTAAGATTACGAGTATGATAATTAATCATATAGTTTTATGAGAATTTAAAAGTTTTTAAATTGAGTTTGTCAATTTTAAGATTATGAAATAAAGATTTGCGTAAAATCTCTAAATCCAATAAGAACCTAGATAGAATCGATGGAATACAGTCCGATCCCAAACAGGTACAGTTTGGTTTTGGTTTTGGTGTAATATGCGCACCAGCACACTTCCAAAATTGCCTGAATAGGTAGTACCCTTCAGACCTAAATATTTGTACTCCCCTCCGTCCCCAGTCCAGTTTGAATTTTCATTTTTAGTTCAAATTGTACTAAAAGTGAAATCTCAAACTGGACAATAATTTTAGAATAGAGGGAGTACAAAATAATTCTAATAATAGTTGTAAATTTCATAAACAGTAACGAACGTTGTTATCCGAAATCAATATTTTACATTATTACTCATGAGTTAGTAATAAATTATCATGTGAACATGTATTTCGAAAATGACATATTTCGATTCTTTCTTCTAAATAGTGATCACACGAATCGACTCATTTCATTTTCGATTTGATTACACTAATGGTGAGGAGAACATGTCAAATTGAACTATAATGGCAATAGCTTAAAACACAAATTAACAAATGTACAAAATGGTAGTACAAATTTGAAATGGTAATACCTTCAACCAAAAAAAAGTGATCGTTGCAAACCAAAAAAAAATCAGGTGAGAAATTAACGTAACAGAACAGAACAGAGACTTTGCTAGTAGTAGTATTTATTTTGTCAAAGTCAAAACAGTTTCAAAACTCAGTTCGCATTATATTTAGTACTTCTAAACTCCATTCCCATGAAGTACTAGTTTTGTAGTACTTCTAAACAAGACCACCTCGTCATCCTCTTCTCTCTCTCTCTCTCTGTCTCTTTCTCATTCTCTCTCACACACACAGTAAAGAACAGAGTGAGAGAGAACAAAATTTATCCCAAAGGGAAAAAAAGTGAATTAAGAAGGAGGAGAATTCTATACTACTAAAGAAGGCAACATTTATTCCCCCTTTTTTTTTCCTATTTTTCTTTTCTCTCTCACTTCACTTCTCAACTTTTTCTTGTTTCTTTTTCTCTTTCTCTTTTGTTTTTTATTAATGTTTGTAAAAAAATAAAATAAAATTTTGCCTCTCACTCTCACAATCCAACTTTTTTCTCATTTCTCTGTTTTTTCATAGTCTCGGGTGGTGGTGGTGGAGGTGGTGCTTTACTTTGTTCTTAATTCTTCTCTTTTTATTCCCTTATTCCTCCTATCTTTTTTTTTTTTTTTAACCCTGTTGGCATTATTCTTTGATTCTCTGCTGTGTGAGTGAGTGAGTGTTTTGAAGCTGCTCGAAGTTCTCCGCAATAATGGCTGCTGATATCAGCCACCCTCCAATGGAACAACTCCAAGACCTTGAGTATTGCATCGACTCCAACCCACCATGGCGTACGTCCTCTGTTTTCCTCTGTTTTTGTTCGTTCCACTACCTAAAGGGAAATTGAAAACCATTGTGAAGAAAGGACATACTTTTGGGTGTTGGGAAGGAAGCCCAGTATAAAAGCATAGAGAATGCTGATATGTGTAATTGCTGTATGAATGTGCATGCCCTCTTTCTTTCTTTATTTCTATGCACTCTCTTTCTCTGCTCTGGTGTATGATTTTGTTCAGGGTCTTACTTAAGAATTATAGAGATGGGTTTTTGGTTTTGATTCTATGAAGTGGATTTTGGTTTTCTGAGCATTAAGAGGATTTCGAATGATGAACGGGATGTCTGGGAAGTTCGGCATTATGAGTTTGGCCTATGATAATGGATTTTTCCTAAACATTCCTCTTCTTGTCTTGTTTTGTTTACTGTAAACCATTGCATTTTCAATATTTTTCTTCCTGGACTGTTCTGTAAAGATTACATTTTTTTTTTACCCCTTTGTTTTTTGAAATGGGGTGTGTCAGAGAATTGATATTTTAAGCTGGAGAAAGATTTAACAAAGAACAGTTCTTTAATTTTTATTCGGGGAAGTTTTGGTTTTTGTATGTTTGTTTGTTTTTTCTTTTTTTTTTTTTTGGGGGTAAGGGATTTTGTTTTCTTCCTTCTTTCTTTTTTCCAGAAGTGAATGAGAGCTCGTTTTGGTCGAGCATTTGGTTAGAGTATACCGTTCTTGTCGTCTACAAGTGAAAAACTAGGCAATTTTGAAGAAAAAGTTAAAAAGGACAAGTTTTTCCCAATTTTTTTTTTTTTCCCCTTCATCTTGTCAAATGGAAAGGATGATTAAATAGAATGTGATATGATCAATATGGGAATTAGTGAAAGCGTTGTTAAGGTATACAAAAGATCATTCTTGATGACATGAGTTTCCAGGTTTGCATTTTGGAACTTTCATGATAGAATTGTGCTGCTTTTTCACTGAAATATTCGATGATTAGTCTCTTTCCCCAGTTTAGATTGGAAATGAATTCCATATTTTTGAATGTTACTAGTTTTAATAGCCACTAGTCTTCTATTTTTAGCCTATCATTCAGAAATAAACCAACTCTCTCCACCTAGTGATTTGTTCATCGAGGGCTTTAGCTAACAATATCCATTAAGATTGGAAACTCTGGCACGAGATTGTCCTTTCTCTTGAACACTCGCCATTTTGAAGGACTTTAGGAAACTTTTACTTGTTTAAATCACTTATGCTTGAAAATGAATGGAAGTTAGATCCGTCATGGCAGTGGATAAATTATGTACATTGCTGGGTGATGCATTGTCATGAGTTTCTTCCTGAGCTAGTTCATTGAAATTTTTTTTAAAAAGGTGGTAAGATGAAGACATAAAATTACTGTTATTTTGTGGTTTCCAATTACGGGAAAAGGTCCAAATTACAGGTAAATTATTGTTTAGTTGTCTTTGTAAAGCAGTTTGTCAAGAAATGAAGATATGAGCTAGTGTAGATCATTAATCACAAAAGATATTGAAATAAACTAGAGGGCAAAATAATTTAGATGAACTAATAGGATACTTTTGCATTTGAACTTTTTTCAATGGTTATGTATTTATCTCAGCGTATAGCTTGCATTAGCTATTGCTGATGTTTTCACCACGTTCTCTGCATTAGATTCAACTGGTGCATTACCCTTGGCAAAACTTGTTTCTTTATTTGCCGTTAACAATCCGAAGCTTCAAGCCACAGAGAAAAGTTTCATGCATTGAAAAGAGAAAGAAACAATGATGCAAAGCAAATTGGAAAATATTGATTTTCTTAATGAAGTTTAGTTGCTCAAGTGGATGGAGATTCTGAATTCTACTTCCATATGTAGCAATATGTGATATTCCACTTGCTTGCTAATTTGAAGTCTTTTCTATTGCAGTGGAAACTATCTTGCTGGCATTCCAGAACTACATTTTAGTTCTTGGCACGAGTGTGATGATCCCTACCGTGCTTGTACCCTTGATGGGTGGATCTGATGTAAGCTTCTGCAATTGTTGTTTCTCACTATTATGGCTAAAGTTGGACAAAATTGGGATGGATTATAAGCGGATACTACATAAGCCTTAAAGAATCTTGTGTCTCATATTCACATGTAAAGAGGAACAGGTTTCATCATTTTTTCTCTTCAAGTGGATCGTAGTATATGTACGTGGTTACCAAAATCTTTCCTTCTGATGCTGCTTCTGCTGTTGCCATCACTATTTCTTTTTATTTTCCTTTGCCCAGACCTACTATGCAATGACAGACCGAGGACTTTTCTTTTTTTTTTTTTTTTTTAATATATATAGACTGAGGACTTCAAAGCATAAGAATAAATAAGAATTAGTTGCTTATATTGAGTTGTGTTGGCTGTAATCATCATATCCTCTTTTTGGTTATCCATGCAAGGGGGACAAGGCACGAGTGATACAAACATTACTTTTTGTAGCTGGCATTAACACACTTCTCCAAGCTCTTTTTGGGACTAGGTTGCCTGCTATAGTTGGAGGCTCCTTTGCTTATGTCATCCCCATAATCTATATCATCAGTGACTCGTCTCTACAACGAATTGAGGAGGACCATGTAGTGAGTTGATATTTGTATTCTTTCTATAGGCTGTTGTTAATTTGGTTTCAGTGAAGCATGTCAAAATATATTGTAATCAGCAAAAATGTTCATCAATGCAAAATTTCTTCTGGCCTCTCCACCAGGTCGAAAAGTAAACAAGATTATGGAGATGATGTAGACGATTTCACTTAATGACATGCTGAGCTATGTATCCTGTTCATAAGGATTACTATTGTAGATGAGATCATTCTTAATGAAAGGCCATAAATTTCATTGCTAGAGCTAAAATGTAGACCTTAACTCTGTTTTATTCTGGTGGTAGATTGTTCAGCAATATGTTTTAACTTTTATGTATTATGGTCACTGAATAGGTTCATTACATTTTTGTTGGTTTCAGAGATTTATACAAACTATGCGAGCTATCCAAGGGGCTCTCATTGTTGCTGCTAGCATACAAATAGTACTTGGGTATAGCCAAGTCTGGGGACTCTTCTCAAGGTAAAGCAACCCCCTCCAATCAAGTGAAACAAAATTTTGACTCTGAATGAATCGAAATGGTCTTTTTATGTTCAAGTCTTCTCCATGCAGATTTTTCAGTCCCCTTGGCATGGCACCAGTTGTTGGATTAGTAGGTCTGGGCTTATTTCAACGAGGATTCCCTGTGGTACTGACTTCAAGAACTTTGCACTGTGCCTTAACAAATAATGCTCAATTTACAAGTTACTAAGTGATTGGGAAATTCAATTAGTTGTGTTGTATTGCAATAATAAAGATGTAGTTAACATGAGAAATAACAGTTAAGGGCATCTGGTTTTCTCATCCACTTGCTTTTGTGAAGATTAGGACCTTGTAAAGATCCTCAATGTTCACCTCTTAAGAACAAAGAATCTGCAACTGAAAATGATGCATCCTGGAAAACCTGATCATATCTCAAACAACAATAGATTGGTCCTGTTGAAACTGTTAGGACCTCCCAGATTCACTACAGCTATAAGTATAATAGTTTGTTCCCTGGAGACATTACTGAATTACTGATGGCATAATAGACTACAGGTCGTGTAGCATTCTTGTATTGAGCTCTCATAATGAAATTTGGCAAGTCGTGTAGCTGTCATGGCCAATTTAGGCTTGCGTTAATTTCCTTTTTCCTCTTATTGGACACATGATGCTTCTCTAAAAGTATATAATTTTCTATGACGTTTGACCTTGCAGCTTGGGAATTGTATTGAAATTGGTCTACCCATGCTTATTCTGGTTATCGGCCTATCACAAGTAAGCTGTATATTTGTATCCAGGACTCCCACCATATGTTTATTGTAGCTGAAGCTCTAATAAATAACGTCGTTCCAATATGCAGTATCTCAAGCATTTTAAACCACTCAGGGACTTCCCAATTTTTGAACGTTTTCCAGTGTTGATTTGTGTTGCAATTATTTGGCTATACTCTGTCATACTGACTTACGGGGGTGCATATCGAGAGGCATCTCCGAGGACTCAATTCAGTTGCCGAGTAGACAGAGCAAATATTATATCAACGGCTCCATGGTTGTATTTTATTGACTGAGTAGTATATTCTTCCTTTTCATTTGCTGTTCCATCTTCTGAGTCTAAGATACCAAATCATGTTTCTTTCCAGGTTCAAGTTTCCTTATCCTTTGCAGTGGGGCCCACCAACTTTTGCAGCCGGTCATGCATTTGCTATGATGTCTGCTGTTCTTGTTTCAATGGTTGAGGTATGAAGAGGATTCCTCAAGTTTTCCTTATTGCACAATGTATCAGATTATTAAGACTGTAAATACAGAGCTGTGTGTGTGCATACAATTGAATTTGAAGCTACATTGTTAAAGCAGCTAGTATATATTTATTCACTACTCCTGAAAGTTCAGAGAAAAGGGTTTTTTACTGTGACTGAGTTCATGTTGTGTACGTATATACTGTTGGATATATTCCCTTATGTAAGAATCTCCCCGAAGCCCAGAGATATTCTTGAAACTACCGTCACTCGATTTTACTTTTTCATCTGCAGTCAACTGCCGCATATAAGGCAGCATCTCGTCTAGCAATTGCCACTCCACCACCTGCATATGTACTTAGCCGTGGAATTGGTTGGCAGGTAAAATGGTTTTTCAACTGTCTAAGATGCATAGAAATGTTTTGTGATCGTCAGCGAGAGATATTTGAACATGTAATGACTTTTGTAGTGAACATGTTGCTTTTAATAATTTCGCAAAATCAGGGGGTCAGAATAAACGGAATATAAGAATGACGAAAAGAAATTTTCACCGATTGAAGCGAAATTGGAATTGTCACATCTCTGTTTCTTGCTAACATGGCCTTTTAATTTAAACAACATTTCTTAAGCACATGCAATGAAACCTTCTACTTTTTCAACTTGAGTGTCCTTCAAAGCTCTGGAGTTTTGACATTGATTCTCTGCAGGGGATAGGCATTTTGCTAGATGGTCTTTTTGGGACAGGCACTGGTTCTACTGTATCTGTGTAAGAATTGTAGAGTATGGTTTCTAATTCACTGCTTATTGTTACAATCTTTACTTGGCCAAAATTTTTATGCTCAAATTTCAGTGAGAACATAGGACTCCTTGGACTAACTCGAGTTGGAAGTCGAAGAGTGGTTCAAATTTCTGCGGGATTCATGATATTCTTCTCTATCTTAGGTTGGACATTATTTCGTTCCATGATCTTCCCCTCAATTTCCATCTTAGGAGAATGAGCATTAATTTACCTGAATTCAAGTTTTAGTATTCACTATTATTCTTTCGCAACATTTGGTTGTATGTTATCTTCTATTACTTGGCTTGCAGGAAAATTCGGGGCTTTATTTGCATCTATCCCTTTCCCGATATATGCTGCATTATACTGTGTCCTGTTTGGCCTTGTAGGTATGCATTGCTCGATAATTCTAACCGACTTCTTTTGCAAACTTTTGATTGATGAAACCAAGTGCAACATTCTCTCTTGCAGGTTCTGTTGGTTTATCATTTCTGCAGTTTACAAACATGAACTCTATGAGAAACCTCTTTGTAACTGGTCTTTCCCTATTCCTTGGAATATCCATTCCTCAATTCTTTGGCGAATACTGGGTGGGCGCTCGGCATGGTCTCGTTCGCACCAATGCAGGATGGGTCAGTACCATTTTTTGTTTCACCCTAACTTTCCTGATTTCTCGATTTACAAGAAAGAGCTTTGGAACATTTCCGAGGATGGGTCTCATTTCACTAAAACTGTTTCAGTTTTCACTATCTGTCACTATTACTTGACACATGAAACTTTTGATCAATCTGCTTCGGTTTCTTTACTGAACAGTTCAACGCATTCTTGAACACGATATTTGCCTCCCCACCAACCGTGGCGTTGATCATCGCCGTGTTCCTAGATAACACGTTGGAAGTGGAGAAATCAAAGAAAGACCGAGGTATGCCATGGTGGGTGAAATTTAGAACGTTCAGAGGTGATAACAGGAATGAAGAATTCTACACTTTGCCATTTAACCTTAACAGATTCTTTCCACCTACATAGCCTAAAATCTCTAAATGAAGAAAAAAAAAAAACAAAAAATAACTAAATTAATCTTTAGTTAATTTCCTTCCTCTTCCCAAACTCCCAAACTCAACTCAGATGATTGTTGAGACTTGAGACTTTAGTTCAGAGACTTCCCCTCTACAAAAAGCTGATTTTGGTATATCTGTTAACAGTGACCCAATTTTTTGTGGCCTTGTAAGCAGAAGAAAAGGCCCCATAGTAGGAATGTATTTAGTCAAGGCTTTGTTTAGTTAGACTTTTTTTGATAAATAAGCTATGATTTGCACTACATGTATTGCAATTTTTTTTGGTCCGTTCTTATTCTTTTTGGACTCTAAATGAATAAGGCTTATTTCTGCGCGCTCTGTGGTTTTGTGTGCGCCTATCTTCTGAATTGACCTCTGCAGAATAGTCCATCCTACTCGATACTATAGCAGACAGGTTTTTCTTACAACTTTTGATAATTCCCATTTCCTCCTAAATTCACCATACATCAGTTTGGATATTGGCAAAAATTATTACAAATGATCTTCATTCAACCATATTAGAAATAAGATGATTTGCGAGACTGACTTATTACAAATGATCATAAAACTGTGAATTATTTGAATTGATCTCTAGGATTCTTTGTTCTTGTGTTGGCCATTAATTTGAGAGTTTTTAGACTAATGATGGTCTGTGATTTGACCATGAACATTTTTGCCAATTACTACCGGAACAAACCCCCAAAATGGGAGAGAGAGTTTAAAGAAAAAAGAACATTTGTGCCATTTGACCTTTGGCTTACCAAATCACATTAGAGTAAAATGTTGAAATAGTCCCTTACATTTGCCCTTACTTGAATTTACGTCCCTTACATTAACATTTCAATATCGTAGTCCTAAACATTATGTGTTCATACTTTTTTGGTCCCGTTTTACTGTTTCGACCACAGCTCCGTCCAACTCGATGTTGACCGGCCGTTGACTTGCCGGAGTCAGAGGTATTTTCGTCCTTTCACGTAATTTGACCTTCCACCAAATTAAAATCATTAAAAATATTAAAAAATTCATATTTTAAATTATTTAAATAGTATTTATTAATTTAAAATATTATTATAATATTTTAAAATTTATATTTTTTAAAAAATAGTTTTTTCATTTATCATTTATCTTAGGTGAAAAATAAACAGTAATTATTCTACATTTTAACTCCGGGCCACAGTAAATTTACAATTTTGAGGTTACTGTGTACAAACCTAATTGCATGTAAAGGAATTCATTGTAAGTATCATTGTATCACAGGAATAGCCGAATAGGGTTTTTCTGGAAGAGTGTTATTGGAATTTAATTTCTTTTAGATCGTTTGATCTCATATGTACTTATGCACAATATGACAATACTTCGACTTGACATGCCATAGATAATTACATATTATATCACAATATAACTAGATTCAATTGTCATGAAGATGAAGGGCGTTTGTGATCGTCACATTCTCATATTGGTATAGTTAAACAGTTTGAGGTTTTGTTTTTATACTTAATGGAACATCCACTATTCTCCTAAATTTGGGCCTAATTAGCAGATACAAATTTTCTTTAATCGTGATACTAGCTAGGTGAGAAATCCAAATATTAGGAAGAAAAATTGTTTTCAACAAAATATGCATGTCTCCATTTCCCAGAAGAGTTGATTATTTTTAATTTTTTGTTTTACTTATTTTTTAGTTTTAACAATCTCGCTACTCCAACACAAAATAATTAATAGGATTGTCTTTGATTTCACATGTTGAATATGCGCAACTACGGTTTAGGATGTTATTTATATTTATACATCTTTCTTTTAGGTGCTTATATCAATGAATTATTAATAAATAACTATACTCAGGTGTTTATAAATTAAGAATATCGTGTTCATAAGACAAAATTTTTTTGTGATTTTGCTATTAAAATTAGATATGAAATTTTATGTTTGGATTGTTAAATATTTTAAACGTCTTGAAATTATTGCTTATGTCAATCACATCGGCCGGACACACAAAAAATTATTGGGGTGTGCGTTATTACATGGGCTATATCTAATATATACCAAAAACGGATACATAAACTTTACATAAATTAAATTAAAAGTACTATAGTTATACAACGTATATAATAGAAATTCTAATAATTTCTATGAATAGTAAGGCCACCATTTAGTTTCAAAGTAAATATCTGAATTACGTCGGTTCAGTTTGACTTCATTCCACAAATGTCATAGGTCTACACGCTTCTAATACTATCTTGAAAATTCATAAAAGTATATTTCTGGTTCAAAATCAGTCAGACTCAGGTTTATGAATATATATGGACTTCATCTCTACGCGGTAATAGAACTTACCCCGCATAAATTTTTTTCTAATGTAATGAATAGTTCTATAAAGTGAATAATAATTAAATTAAATTAAATAATCATTATCTCAACTAAGTAAACGATTAAAGGGACGTAATGAGTATACAACATCTACCAAATCAAGCATATACTGTATATTGCATTAAGTGTGTTTGTATAGTTCCAAATCATTCAAGTGATAATGCATGCGTCGACAAATGATCATAAAACTGTGAATTATTTTAATTGATCTCTAGGATTCTTTGTTCTTGTGTTGGCCATTAATTTGAGAGTTGTATACACTAATAATGGTCTGTGATTTGACCATGAACATTTGCTCCATTTAGCTCTCTCGTTGGGCTCCGGATCCTATATTGGCCTTTGACTTACCAAAAGCTTGATCCGAACATATTTGATGTGAACATGAAGGAGGACATTAGGAATGTGATGTGTGATGCTCTAGTTTTCATTTTCCCATTATACCAAACACAAGTACAACTAGACCTTGAGCTTCTTCATAATTTGTAAGAAGCAATCAAGGTCCTTGGAGCCAAATTTTGGGAAAAGGATCCAAAAGTACCAACAAACAGTACCCAGCTAGCTGTTTTGGACCTTTTGCTTGGAAAATTGGAGTTGACTAGTAGCGATGATGCGGGCTTAACTTCCAAGAGTCATGCTCAAACTATCCGAAACCAACTCATCCACTTACGATCTTTCATTGGGGAAACTATGGAATTGGGAAATGATCAGGAGGAAATACAATCTCTCTGGGTTTCTATTCTGAAAGTGTCTTTCAAGATAAAGTATAGAAGTCCATAGGATTCCACCTCAAAATTAATTGGTAATGAGGGGAGTAGCCCATAGACTTATACTCCCTCTGTTCCAAAATTATTGTCCAGTTTGGGATTTCACTTTTAGTACAATTTGAACTAGAAATGAAAACACAAATTGGACAATAATTATGAGACGAAGGGAGTATATTGATATCGACTCTCTCCCACCACCGATGTGGGATACTCAACAGTCCCCCGCAAGCCCAACGTTTCTTCTTGGGTTGGGCTTGTCAGCCCAGTCACTGCCTCACGTCTCAATCCTGCTAGGACTATCACATCAGACTTTGGAGTCCGACGAACTATCACATCAGACTTTAGAGTCCGACTTTTAGCGGGCTGGCTCTGATACCATATAGAAGCCCATAGGGTTCCACCTCAAAACCAATTGGTAATGAGGGGAGTAGCCCATAGACTTATATATTGATATCAACTCTCTCCTACCACTGATGTGGGATACTCAACATAGAGTGCATCATCACCTACCTCATGTCTGGGTGATATTTCGCGTCATGTTGTGGCATTATTTCATTCTGCCATGAAAGACATGAGCAATATTCTGTCAGAAATCGAAGTATGTCTGGTGACTAACAACAGTCAAGCGCGATCAACAACTCCCTCGGATACAAATCAAGTTGTCGGCTTCCATCATGAGGCGAACTCAATCCTTAATCTGCTCAAGAGAGGGGAGAAGATATTGCAGATTGTTTCCATTGTGGGTAGACGAGGAATAGGCAAGACTACATTGGCTGAGAAAGTTTACTATCTCAGATCCATTTTTCGGCTTGTGCTTTCACCACTATTTCTCAAACAGTTAACTGAAGGGAAGTGTTGCTTCAACTTTTAAAACAAGGTTGCTCCCGAAGAATGTCCAATCATATCTTTTGAAATAACTGCAGATGATGTATCAAACCAGCTACGACCCAGTTTGAAGCAAAAGAGATATCTGATTGTCTTGGATGATATATGGGAAGTTAAAGCCTGGCGCACCTTGCAACAAGCATTTCCTGATGATTCTGTGGGAAGCAGGATAATGTTGACAAGTCGTACTCATAAGGTGGCCACTTTAGATTTGCTCAAAGAAATTCCTGGCCAACTCAGATCACTCACGGAAGAGGAGAGCTTGGAGTTATTTCGATTGACATTATCCAGTGGAAGTGGTCATTATCCTGGATTAGGCAATCTTGAGAGGAAAATTGTTACATTTTGCAACGGATTACCTCTTTTAATTGTCATTGTTGCTGGACTCCTAAAATCCACAGTGCCAGATGAATGGAATAAAGTTGTAGAAAGTTTAAGCTCAGGGTACATATCACAAAGCTGTAAGGACACACTGGAGCTCAGTTATAGGCATCTACCAGACTACCAGAACATTTAAAACCATGTCTTCTCTACCTCGCTACATTTCGAGAAGATCAACAAAGTCTCGGTGAAGAGACTGGTGAATTGGAGATTTCTAAGAGTACTAGATCTGGAAGAAATTAAGTTGTCTGTTGAGATTCCAAGTGAAATAAGAACACTTGGCTCTGTTGGCCTTCTTCGCAATTCGAGGCTATAGTTTAAAGATCCCGGCGTCAATTGGTGACCTCTCTTATTTGAGACACTTTTAAGTGAATTCTCCGCTGAGAAATATTCATTGTCAATCACATTCTGGAATCTAGAGAAACTGTCATTGTCAGGCATTCCTTTGTCCAAGGAGTGCCTTTCAAGCATTGGTAAATTGCCAAATCTTGATGTTGGACAAAAAGAATCCCACATCGGTGTCGTGAAGGATCTGTCATATGTTTATAAATGCCAAAGGCCACCCTACTCATTG